GGATAGGTTCTTTATACTGGGTGTGTTTTTAAGGTGGAGGGGCAAGACGTTGGCCCATCATGATGAAACAACACAGACACAGCATAGCTATGGGGACCAGGGTGGGTGTCCAGGGAAGGAGTCCTTCTTGCCTGGGTTTAAAGGCCTGGCTCAAGGAGCAGGGGACCGGTACGTTGAACACTTCTTTTCCTGGAGTTTATAACCAAGTTCTCTGATTTGACTATTTTTTTTTTTTTTTTTTTTTTTAAATTGTGGCTATTTGGAGTTCTGTGTGCCTCACTTTTATGTAAGTCAAATTCGTTCTTTCCTTACAAGGGAATTTTTCTGCCATGACATCTGTGAACAGTTTTTTATATCATTTGTTTGATCTCCTGCTTTTTCATTGACTCCAATCAATCTTAAGTTATTCTTCTTTGCATCAACTAGCAGCTGCTTGATTGATTTCTCATGGTCCCTTAGTATTTTTAAGAAATCTTTCTTTTCGCAATCACTAACCACAACCCTGTCTTCTATATCTGAGGTCCAATCTTCACATTGGATTAATCTGCTGAAGATGCTTTCCGTGGAATTTTTATTCTTCTAGATATCTGCCTGAATCTACCTTATGGGTTCCATTTCTTATGCTGAGCATTCATGGTTTCCATAATTTTCTTAAGCTCCTCCTTTTTTTTTTTTTTCCTCCTGTATCTGCTCTAGAGTCACTAAGTATGATTGTCATTGTGGACCCTGTCTCTGCAGTTACCTGAGAAGTTTCTGATTTGATTTTTTTTCTAGAGCCTCACTCCGTTGCTTTGTTGTTACCACATCTGGGAGCTTGGGTGGGTGGCTTTCGGATTATCCAACCTCATTGCCCCCTGGGTTTGCCTTTGGTGAACTGGATGTCTGGAGTTGCATCTTGTTTAAGTGTCTTCTCATTTTCTTCTCTTTTTTTAGTGTAATTCCTGGGGTGACACTTACAAATTGCCTTTGATGGGTTGCTTTATTGCTAGTATTTAGAACCATTAGGAAATGACTACTTCTCTGAGGTATCTTCCAAGTGTAACTGGTTTTTGAGTTTTGAGTCTGTTGTAAGATCCTATGTCTTCAATTTGTGGAGGATGAGAAGTTGCTGCCTGTTTGGCCCAGCCACTGATTCTTTAGCACTGTGCCACAGTGCCACTGTATTTTCTATGACCCTAATCAAGCTCAGTCTTGGAATACCAGAAGGAATAGCTGTTTAAAACAATTATGTCACTTTTGGCTGAAGTTATAGCATCTGCAGTAACAGTAGCAACAGTCGCAGCCTAGCAAATGACAAACTGAAGTAACTATTAATTTACCACTTTTAACTGTATGAACTAGATTTGTGGTTATATGACAAAGTCTAAAATAGGCTGGAAAATTCTATGCAGTGTGTGATTCCTTAATATGTCAATTTTACCCTCAGGGGTTAACATTTTTAAAGGGGTTAGGAAAAAAACAGGTAGAAGAAGAAGAGATGAGAAGTAAGGCTGGAGGACAAGGAGGGATCACACTAACTTTGGGAAACTGGTGCAGAAGACTGGAGGGAAAGAGAGAAGGAAGAGATAAACGACAGAACAACCACCACAAAGAGGCACACTCATATAACAAGATCAGACAATGAAGGGGGAAAAAACAAAAACAAAGACACAACAACATCAACAAAAAACAGAGAGAGAAAGTCTACTTCTAGGTATGTCTCTGCTGTCACTGGTAGACGTGTGGAGGCAGAGTCTGATCTGCCATGTTGATTTATCCCAGCAAGCCAGCAGAAGCTTTTTTGGTGGGGTAGTGGGTAATCTCAGCAAGCCTGCACCTTCTGGTCACGACGAGACTCATTCATCCTGCAGCCATCAGAGCATCTCCTGTGGGCCTGAGCCCAGCTGGGGGTCACTAGATAGACCTCACAGCCACTCAGACTTCTGAGTTCAGCTGGCCCCTCTCCAAGATGGCTCCCAACCAATCACTGTCTCATGTGGGGCGACTGAACCCTCAGCACTCAGTACTCACTATCAGCTACCTCAGTTATTTATGTCTGCTACTTCCCTCTACTGCTGCATTTGTCCATGAAGGCCTCTGGTATTGCCAGCAGTCATTGCATGTGCACAGGTCTGAACTGCGACTTGCATAGTGAGTCCTATCTCAGGGAGAGGGTGCCCTCAGCTAGCTCTTCCATTGAAGTTTCTCTCTTCACTCTCTCTATGGACTTCAATTTGCTCTTCAGATCCTTCCTGGGCCCAGCAAACCCACTTCCCTTCCTGTCTTTCTCACATTGCTGTATTCCAGTGTCTGGTTGGCAACTCTCAAGAGAGGCTTTCTCTGCTGCATACCATTCCACCATCTTGGCACCTTCCCCCCTCCTCCTACTTTTTGATACTTATTTTTTAACTTTTGTAAAGAGAAAGCATGCAGTATTTAATTTTGTGAATCTGCCTTATTTTGCTTAGCATCATGGTCTCAATTTCTATCCATTTTCTTGCAAATGACTTGATTTCATTTTTCTTTGTGAATAATATTTTTCTTTGTATTTTTCTTTGTGGTGTATATGTGCACCACATTTTTCTGTCCATTTATCTGTGTTTCCAAAACTTAGCTATTGTAAGTTGAGTTCTGTAAAGATGGGTATGCATATTATCACTACAGAGTAATGGTTTTAATCCTTTTAGGAATATATACAGGAGAATTATAGTTGGGTCAGATGGAATTTCTGTTTTTGGTGTTTTGAGGACTCTCTATACTGATTTTCATAGTGGTTGTACTAGTTTACATTCCCACCAACAATATAGGAGAGTATATGTCATCCCCTACCCCTACCCTTGCTGTTGGTTTTTATATTCTTGATGATAACCATTCTGACTGGGGTAAGATGGAACCTCAAAGTTGTTTTGATCTGCATTTCTCTAATGGCTAATGATGTTGAACAGTTTTTTGTGTACTTATTGGACCTGTGTACTTCTTCTTTTGAGAAGTGTCTGTGCAGTGCATTTGCCCATTTTTTGACTGGGAAATTTATTTTGGATGGTTAGTTACTTTAGATATTAGTTCTTTACTTAGTCTAGATATTCTTTATGTAGTCTAGATACTAGTTCTCTACCACAAGAGTGTTCACTCTATATTGATTGTTTTCTTGGCTATGCAAAAGCTTTTTAATTTGATGGTAATCCCATTTGTTGATTCTTGATACTATGTCCTATGCTATGGAAGCTCTATTTAGGAAGTCTTTGCCTGTGCTTATGGCTTCAGGTATTTCACTTGTGTTATCTTCCTGCAGTTTCAAAGTTTCTGTTTTTTCTGTGTAGGTCTTTGATCTGTTTTTATTTGCCTTTAGCACAGGGTGACAGATAGAGGCCTACTTTCAGTGTTTTGCAAGTGGATATCCAGTTTTCCCTGCACCATTTGTTAAAGAGATTGTCTTTCTCCAGTATATTTTTTGGGCATCTTTGTCAATAATCAGATGCATGTGGGTGCATGGGGCTATTTCCATGTCTTTTGTTCTTTTCCATTG